ATATCTGAATTTGGGCTAGCTAGGCTCATGAATCCAATTGATACACATTTGAGTACTTTTGTGAATGGGGAGTTTGGTGATCTGGGATATGTTGCTCCCGAGTATACACGAACTCTAGTGGCCACTCCAAAGGGAGATGTTTACAGTTTTGGAACTGTACTCCTTGAGTTGGTGACTGGTGAGAGAGCTACCCACATTTCTAAAGCCCCTGAAGACTTCAAAGGAAATTTGGTGGAATGGATTATGCAACTGTCAAGCAGATCTCAACTCCTGGATGCGCTCGACAAATCTTTGGTCGGGAAGGGTGTGAATGATGAGCTTTTCCAGTTTCTTAAAGTTGCGTGCAACTGTGTAGGGCCTATTGCCAAGGAGAGGCCTACAATGTTTGAAGTATACCAGCTTCTAAGGGCCATAGGGGAGAAATATCACTTCACAGTCGAAGATGAGATGATGATGCCAATAGACAATGGCGATGGTGATGGTACAGGCGAACTTATTGTTGCTCGAGGGATGGTTGAGATGACCTGAAAAAAGGTAAGAGTTTATTAGTATATGGTCAGTACCCTTCTGTAATTATCTGTTTTTGTGTACTGTAATAAGCATTATTTATACATATACGATTTACGCTTTAGTTAACGTTTGGAACTGCCTTTCTTCGACACACAAATGTAAAATCATCATGTTAGAATCTTTTAATGTGTAACGTGAGTCCCTTATAACCCAACTTGGTTAGTAAATTTGGGAGGTATTTGTGTAGTTGCATTTGTATTGAATGTATTATTTCCGACAGAGGGAAGACGACGCCGAGATTCTGTTCTATTATCGTTTTCGTCCCTGCCACCTCTCATATCTGCTTCTCAGCGTCATTTCCAGAGAAGTTTTTGTTTCTTGGTTATTTTTACCCAAAACTAAGTTGATGGGAAAGAAAGTAAATAGAAGTTGAAACGAGAATGCAGAAGCATTGCCCAAGTGTTTCATTTTTGTTGAAAAGTATATTGAGTGATGAATCTTGTCGTAAATATTATTTATGATGTGGCTGTTCACTTTCTGGGTCATATATAACATGATAATAGTTTAGTTTCTCAATGATCGAATAAGGCATCCATTCGCGGATGAATTGCATGGATGCCTATTACGTAAGAGTTTATATAGGGTAGTGTTATTCACACATCCATTTTTACTTCTCACACACCTCTCAATTATCAGCCGTCGAATGAAATGAATTGAAGAAAATCAATTGTAAAAAATTAAGGGCTAGTTTGGAAATGTTTTTTAAAATGCTTTTAGTGAAATTTTTTGCGGATTTTAAAAGCACTTAAAGTGTTTCTTGTAATAAGCACTTCCAATGCTTTTTCTTAATTTACTTGCAATTTTACTAAAGATTAGTTTCGAAAGCATTTTCGCAAGAAAACACTTTCAACTATTTTAAAAGTGGTTTTAAACAACCCCTAAAAATGATGTGTGACTTATAAAAGTGGGAATGTGGGTAGCACTATTCTTGAAAAAACATAGAAATTGAGCCAAACAGAGACTTCACCAATTGGGCCTACAACACCGTGGTCCCAGGTTGAATCTGGCTCCACCAGTACAATCCCAAAAGCCCAAACAAACAATCCCAAAAACCCAAGATAATAAAGAGACGCTACGACCCTCTAATTGAGTTTTTTTTTTTTTTTTTTGGAACAAATGATAGGAAAAAACAAAAAAAACAAAAAAAACTGAATTAAGTTTAGCTAAGTTGATTAATATATCTCTTTTTCTAAATTTGAAAGAGGTTATCAAGTTCTATATCTTTAATGGCCTTATTATAATTATTTACAATTACATGTCCATTTTATTAGCGCATGATTGGTATCTTTTGAACAATGAAGAAATGATTAGCAAGCATCATGCCCCGCCTCACCTAGAGATTTTGCTTGAGTCTTCAATATCCTCACGAGTTCATATTATTCTCCATATAATACGCGATAAAATTACGTGATGAGCATTGTAAATTCATATATTTAATGAGTAAATGTTTTGAGTTTGAACCCTTTGAAATGATATATGGTATGCTCGAATGGGTGATGGTACGCTTTGGATCCGTCCGGTAAGGTTTTGATTACCCTTTGTTTTGGATTTCTCTTCTTAATGTGCTATTTCTTCTTCTCTCACCATCCCTTTCTTATCAGCTTGAGCTTTAAGCCCCGTTTTCCACAAGAAGTAGCTTTTGCTCCACCAATTTTCAGTACTAATAATAATTTTGCCACCTAATTTTACAGTTTAATGATATTTTTCTTCACTTATAACTGAAAGGTCTTAGGTTTAATAAGAAAGAAAGTAAATAGAAGTTTTTGGTTCTCAGCGTCATTTCCAGAGAAGTTTTTGTTTCTTGGTTATTTTTACCCAAAACTAAGTTGATGGGAAGGAAAGTAAATAGAAGTTGAAACGAGAATGCAGAAGCATTGCCCAAGTGTTTCATTTTTATTGAAAAGTATATTGAGTTATGAATCTTGTCGTAAATATTATTTATGATGTGGTTGTTCACTTTTTGGGTCATATATAACAAGTCAATAGTTTAGTTTCTCAATGATCGAATAAGGCATCGACGATTCGGGATGAATTGCTTGGATGCCGTTACATGAGAGTTTATGTAGGGTAGTGCTATTCACATACTAATTTTTACTTCTTACGCACCTCTCAATTATCAGCATCGAATTGAATGAATTGAAGAAAATCAATTGCAAAAAATTAAGGGCTCGTTTGGAAGTGCTTTTAAAATACTTTCAACGAGATTTTTTGCGGATTCTAAAAGCACTTATAAAGCACTTCCAATACTTTTTCAGGATTTACTTTATTTTTACTAAAGATTAATTTCGAAAGCATTTTCACAAAAAACACTTTCACCTATTTTAAAAGTAGTTGTAAACGAGCCATAATAAGGATGTGTGATATATAAAAGAAAGTGTGTGGGTAGCACTATCCTTGAAAAAAAACATAGAAATTGAGCCAAACAGAGACTTCACCAATTGGGCCTACAACATCGTGGTCCCAGGTTGAATCTGCCTCCACCAGTACAATCCCAAAAGCCCAAGACAATAAAGAGAAGCTATGACCCTCCTAATTCAGTTTTTTTTTTTTTTTTTTTTTTTTTGTTTTTTCGTTTTTTTTTTCCTATGAACAAACGAAAGGAAAAAAAATTGAATTAAGTTTAGCTAAGTTGATTAGTTGATTAATATATCTCTTTTTCTTAATTTGAAAGAGGTTATCAAGTTCTACATCTTTAATGGCCTTATTATAATTATTAGAAATTACATGTCCATTTTATTAGCGCATGATTGGTATCTTTTGAACAATGAAGAAATGATTAGCAAGCATCATGCCCCGCCTCACCTAGAGATTCTGCTTAGTACTCTTCAATATCCTTACGAGTTCATATTATTTTCCATATAATACACGATCAAATTACTAAATGAGCATTGTTTTAAATGTTTTAAGTTTGTGCCCTTTGAAATGATATATGGTATGCTTGAATGGGTGATGGTACGCTTTGGATCCGTCCGGTAAGGTTTTGATTACCCTTTGTTTTGGTTTCTCTTCTTAATGTGCTATTTCTTCTTCTCTCACTATCCCTTTCTTATCAGCTTGAGCTTTAAGCCCCGTTTTCCACAAGTAGCTTTTGCTCCACCAATTTTCAGTACTAATAATAAGTTTGCCACTTAGTTTTACAGTTTAGTGATATTCCTCTTCACTTGTAAGTGAGAAGTCTTAGGTTCGATTATTGCCAAAAGAAAATTTGAATCACGTTATATTGTTAGTTCATTGTGAGGCTTAGCATACCCTCTCCCCTTAGTGTAGATAATATCGTTTGTTAAAAAAAAAAAGTTATTATGCATGGGCAAGAAGTAGCTTTTGGCCCGTTTTCCACAAGAAGTAGCTTTTGCTCCACCAATTTTCAGTACTAATAATAATTTTGCCACCTAATTTTACGGTATTCCTCTTTACTTATAACTGAGAGATCTTAAGTTCGATTATTGCCAAAAACGAATTTGAACCACATTATTGCTAGTTTATTGTGAGGCTTAGCCTACCCCCTCATCTTTAATGTAGATAATATCATTTGTTAAAAAAATAAATATTATGCACGGGCAAGAAGTAGCTTTTGCCCCATTTTCCACAAGAAGTAGCTTTTGCTCCACTAATTTTCAGTACTAATAATAATTTTGCCACTTAATTTTATGGTTTAGTGGTATTCCTCTTCACTTGTAAGTGAGAGATCTTAGGTTCAATTCTTGTTAAAGGTGAATTTGAACCACATTATTGCTAGTTCATTATGAGGCTTAACCGACCTCCTCCCTTTTAATGTAGATAATATCGTTTGTTAAAAAAAAAAAATTATGCATGGGAAAGGGAAGTGTGATTCACGTCTGAGAAGTCAAAGTTTATAATGAAACAGAGTCATCTCAGGAAGCCAACCAACAATTTCCGCAAAGACACTAGCAGGGTCTGGAGTGCCTCAGTCAAGCAGTCAATTGTCCAAGTCGTCCCTCGGCATTTTACCAAAAGGAATGACCTCAAAATGAAGAAATTATTGAGTGCTGAAATATTAAACAATTTTGTCGTCTTCTTATTTTCTAACACGTAATTTTATTTATTATATTGATTTTTCTTTGGGTTAAGATCCTGAATGACATATCTTGCTAAAGGCGATTATGAGAGAATCGCGCATAGTTTTGTTTGATCTAGATGTGTTTTTGTTTATTTTCATAAAAAAAACAGACAATAATATCGTGTACTGTTGTGATAGTTACGTTGAAAAATTTCCTTTTCACATAGGGATCAAGGAAAAAAAAGATGGACGTATAAACCACTCTGGCATTTAAGTTATGTCTTGACCATGGACATTAATTTTCTCGTTGAACTCTCTTTCCGAGTAAAATTTCTGGTTTCTTTCACATTCCCCAGTGTTATTAAAAGCTAGAAAATTTGTGGGTTTGATTGAGCACTATCTCTAGCTATGGTCATTTCGCTTCAATTTTATTAAAACAGTAGAAATTTTTAAGAGCGTTTTGATGGCTTTCTTAATACGTGATACCTTGTTGAGCAAACAACATCTTGGCAACATTTTTATTTGTTGCGTCTTATTGCTAAGTTGTAGTTTCAGCTCTGCTGTTGAGAGTGATATCAACTGCCTCATAAGCATAAAAGCATCACTTCAGGACCCTTTAGGTTACTTAAACTCTTCATGGGATTTCAACAATAACACAGAAGGTTTCATCTGTACGTTTCTGGGAATCGAGTGTTGGCACCTTCACGAGAGCAAAGTTTTAAATATCAAGCTTTCGGGTTTGGGACTCCAGGGCCCGTTTCCTCATGGTGTAGCGAATTGCACAAGCTTATCCGGATTAGATCTTTCAAGCAACAAGCTCAGTGGACCTCTTCCTGAAGATATCGGTAGAATTATTTCGTTCATTACAACTCTTGATCTCTCTTCTAACAGCTTCTCAGGGCAAATCCCAACAAATATTACCAATTGTAGCTATCTGAATGTGCTTAAGCTTGACAGCAACCAGTTCACCGGTAACATCCCTCTAGGGATTGGCCAGCTCGGTAGGATGAAAACATTTAGCGTGGCAAACAATCAGCTTTCTGGCCCAGTCCCAGAATTCGGTAACAATAGTGGAATTACAGCAGAAAGTTACGCAAACAATGCTGGACTTTGTGGGAAGCTTCTAAAGCCTTGTCGATCGTCTCAAGTGAAGTCCACTAGTACTCTAGTTAAGGTTTTGAAGTCAAACAGTGTTGTTATAGCAGCAGCAGCTGGTTTTGGATTTGCTTTTCCTTTTTCTTTCTGTTTTTTCCTTCCAAGAGCTCCTAGTGTGCGTCGCTTGTGGGTCTTCTATCGAGGATATAAACTGAGGTAGCCAGTAACCTTTGTCCTTTTATGTTATGTTTCAGTGAAATATATGCAGAGTTCTTGTTTCGGAGCATTTTCAGTGTACCATGAAAATCCTCATGTGATGTTATTATTATTCCACTCAAATTATAATATACATATGTATATCTCTCATTGAACAGCTTCTCGGGGAAATTTCCCCCGAGTCTTCGAATTGTAGCAATCTGAATGTGCTTAAGCTTGAAAACAATGAGTTCTCGGGTGAAATTCCTGCACAACTTGCCTCGCTCAAAAGGCTTAATACATTTAGTGTGGCCAACAATCGTCTATCTGGTCCAATCCCAAATTCCGGTGGTTATGTGCAGTGATGGAGTTAGAAATTTACAACAATGGGATCATAAAATAGAAGCTTCCAAAGATTCATTAAACTTTTACTTATAATTGTAACTTATAATTTTTTTTCTACAAAATATTCATGAAGGGTGCTTGAATTGGATTCACTAATACAACCAAGTGCGATGAAGGGTGCTTGAATTAGGAGATATAAAGTATGGATGGAAAATGCGTTTCCGTATTTGATAAGTCTTCAATTTGTTTGACAAGTCTCCTTATTTCATGATTTGTTAATACATAAAATATAATAACGAGGAGAATGTCGAAAATTGGTCAATAATATGTCGGATTCTTTTTGTTGACAATAATGATTAGTCTTTTTTTGTTTTTTGTTTTTCTAGTCGACCATTAGTTATTTTGTAAAAAAAAAGGAACACATATTTGCCGAAGTAATGGAATGAATATAATAATGAGGAGAATGTTGAAAATCGGTCGATAATATGTTGGATTCTATTTGTTGACAATAATGATTAGTCTTTTTTTTTTCTTTTTCTAGTCGACAATTAGTTATTTTATAAAAAAAAAGGAACACATATTGAATAGCCGAAGTAATGGAATGAATATTTTTCTCTTTCTCGTCCTCTTTTGTACCATTGTATGTATGGTTATAGTTAGACTTTGTGGCTTTAGGAACTTGCTCATCGGCTCTGTATTATGTTGTGGTTTGTTCTTAGGTATTTGTCAATTTCACCATGTGCGTAAGGAAATTGGCCACCTCTGCTGTCTCTGCATCATTAATCGATCTCCTCGTATATGAAGATATAGAAGCAAAAGCGGAGAACTTGGAGCACTTTTCGGGTTTAAGAAATAGAGAACTTAAGAGTAAAGATAGGGCATGACGTGGCAAAAGTACTCACGATGTAAGACAAGAATTAAGTTATTTCACAAGTAATAAAATTAAAAGGAAGCGGGGACAATAAAAAAAGTAATTGGGAATTGATAATTCATGTGTTGATAGGTTATTTTATGGTCATATCCTAAAAGTAGATGTTTTGAGTTTTTCAAACTATTCGGATTGACGCAATTTTAGTTTGGTATGTCTGTTTTGAGTTTGTAATATATAGATTTAAGGAGAATGACGTGATTTACAAGACTCATTATGTTGCAACGAGCCCAAGCGGAATTCAAGCGAATTATGTCGTTTACCATCTTTTATTCGGATTTTAATAGTATAGGATGTTTTCATATTTTTATATTTGTTTATTTTCTTTCTTTCTTTATTTATTTTTTTTGAAGGATTATTTTCTTTCTTATTTGGTTTTCCTTTGTTTCTCTGTTCTTTCATTTCGAGCTCCTACCGGTGTGGTTTATTTCATTGTGTCACGAAGATTGAAGTCAAAACAAATCTGACCAGTAATTTGTATCAAATCGTGTATGCAAATAATCTTGTACTTGAAAAAGAGAAATTTTACAAAACATTGATTGTTATTTTTGTTGGAAAAAACACGCATTGTCGGACTACTAGCTCATTGAATTGCACAAAAAAGAAACACAAATAAATAAAAGAACAATATTTGGATTTTGGGTCAGGCTGTCAATTGTCCAAGTCGTCCCTCGTATTTTTACAAGAAGGAAGGACCTCAAAATGAAGAAATTATTGACTGCGACACATTCAATCTCGTCTACTTATTTTATAACACCTTACTTTAGTCATTACGATAAAATATGCCCCGCGCGTTGTTGCGGAACTTGAATGTATTAGTCGCAATAGGCATGAATAGTTTCCACACAAAGCAACTAAAAAGACGTAGAACCTAAGAATCAATGAACAATTGGGACATCTTACTCATATGTGAGAGTCAATCCCTATTTCAAATCCCTATTGAACAAAAGTCCTATTTCTTCTTCAAATTGAATCGACATCATTGATCAAGCAATTAAACATTCCTACTAGCAAATAATTGACCCAAGAGTTGAGCAGATATATAGGGATTGGAAAAATACAAAGTGAGCACCAATGATACCGCACCAGTACAAGGAGCATATCACTCACTAGCTAATCTAGCTTGAAAAGATAGGGAAAGAACCTTGACTGAGATCTTCAATCACTGCGACAACCCAAATGAATAGAGAAAAACACAATTAATAAACACGGGGACAAAGAACCTGAGAAGCAGAAACAAACTTCTATGCACACAAAAATTGTGCAAGTAAACAAACATCCAGTTGTACTGAGACTTGAATGATCCATGTTTTATAATATAACTTAAACCCAACCATGATTTTACAAAAATTTTAGGTAGAATTATTAACATAACTCAGAAAAAAAGACTCAACTTTGCAATTAAATTTCTTACATAACATAAACTTGACAAATTTAACTAATTAGATTCATCCACAAAATAGATTTTAACATAACCTCAAAGAGTTTCTTCTAACCAAGTAAACCATTACTCAACAAAAAACATGCAGACAAAGCTCTTATCAAAATCACAATATTGTAATGAACGGGAAATTCAAAATAATCTCAGCTACGCACTTTTCCAAAACGAAGGAAAAATCTACTTTGTAACTTAACTTAATATACGAAACCACCAATTTAGTCACCTAAAATTCATAACCAACACATAAAACAACTCCAAATCTTCAGGTTTACACATATGAGCCAAAGGTCAAGTTTTTACAAAACACTCATCCCACAATATGAAAAAGCAGATTGAAAATTTTAATTTTTGTATAGAAATAAGCCAAAGGTTCAATTTTTACAGACATGGTCATTTTATACACAATAAGCATACATAAAAACTAGACCGATTTTTTTAGAACACTGAATATTTGTCGCGTAAGGTGGCTTTATGCGATGAAAAACTAAATTTTGTTGAAGCGCAAAGTTGAACTTAGATATGGAACTTCGGATTCCATAAACTCTTCAAGGGTCTCATTTGCATATAACGTATGGATGATCACATGTATACTCAAAGGTAACACCTTCAGGGTGTAGTTCGACTGGTAGACTAAAGTACCGTCAGAATAACACTTGAACTTCAGGCCAAGGTAAAAATGAGTTTTCCTAAGATCCTTCATCTCGAATTCCGTCTTCAGGTACAAGGCAGTTTTCTATATATAAAAACAAATGCCCACTCACTGATATGTCGATGGATCGTAGCCTCCTAGCCTTGTTTGTCCTCGTACCTCATCGGGGTAAGTCTCACCTATATGTGAAATAAATTTTCTAATTAATTAATTAGGACATACACTAAAAGGCTAGGAAAATCCCCCATAGTTTGCTCAAACGGAGGGTTTAAGTACACGAAAACATTCTACTCGACGTCACGGACCCGTGCATGTCAAGCACGTGTCGTTCGGAGGCCGGACGCGCCTTCATGTGCTGCCAAGTCGCGGCCACACGCGCAGGCCATGCACCTGACAAACAGACAGAAACCCTAGGGAATATTCCGTCATAGTTGACGGAATATTTCGTTAAATTTAATGGGGTGGTTGATTCTACAACCATGTCTATCTATAACCAGCTAGTTTCAAGACGGCAAAAAAGCCCGAGTCCAAGTCAAGGTCAATGGTACATAGCAAGCTCCCTTATTATGAGTTGAGATCTTTTTCAGATCTCATTGTTCGGAATCCAAAGACCAAGAAATTTGAACCATTTAAATTGAGGACGCTGCTTTGCTGTTGAAGGTTTCAGCATGAGCTCCTGCTGAAACCTTCAGTAGCCAAGTCTTACAAGCCAAAGGTCCAAGGGTTGAGTCTTACAAGCCAAGTTTTGAAATTCCTTTCTTTTTGTGGAAGCAAAGTGCATACAAGACAAAGGTCCAGGGGTTGAGTAAAATTGCAAAAGGACGCCGATTTAAATCTTTGGTTTGGTTTGATTCGCTTCGGTTTCTAAACTATCAAAACCGAACTAACCAATTTCAGTTCGGTTTTACAATTTCATTTTGTTTTTTTTTTCTTTTTTGTTTTTCGTTTCGGTTCGGTTTTTTTCGGTTTTCCGGATCCACCCTTACTGGGAAGCAATTTGGTGGTGATAGGTAAGATCATATTTTGTAGACTATATGATGTGACAGTTGATGATTGAATACCTCTTTTAATGATTTAAATAAGTAATCTAATTATCAACTGTCACATCATGTTGACTACAAAATATGGTTTAAGTAGATAATCTCTCTAGCATCTACAAAGAAATGTTGAACGAAAAAAAAAAAGAGAAAACTCAAAAGTTAATTAATATCTTTTAAAATAAATTAAAAAAGTTGACGTTGAATATAGTGGTACACATAGCTCTCTATATAAACCATCCAAAGAATGGCACATTTGCACAGAACCCAGAAGTAAAAAAACCAAAGGCACTAGCTTAACTTAATTCACTAGTCACAAACCATGGTTCAATTTCACCATATTTGTTTCCTCTCCTTGCTCATAACACTAGCAGCAGGCTTCCTTCCTGGCACCCATGCAGTCGACTACAGCGTCACAAATACCGCCAGTGGAACCCCCGGCGGAATCCGCTTCAACAATGAAATCGGAGCAGACTACGGCAGGCAAACCCTAATCTCCGCGACCGACTTCATATGGAGCTTGTTCCAGCAAAAACAACCGATGACAGAAAGAGTGTCTCCAAGGTCACCCTAATCGTTGAAAACATCACCGGGGTCGCGTACACCATCAACAACGAGATCCACGTCAGCGCCAGCTACATCGCTGGTTACTCCGGCAATGTGAAGAGTGAGATCACCGGTGTGCTTTACC